CACCCGCGTCCCCATCTGACAAGACGTCTCGATGACAATCCACAGATAAGATAATTCACTGGGACAGCTGCCGAATAAATTGTTGCCAGCCAGTAATGAAGTGGCGATGGTCTGTACCTGGCGTGACGTCACGTCTCTAATAAATTTGAATTTAGAAGCTCGTTGACTGATGTGAAATAGTGCCTTTTGGGATTTATAAGATGGTAATAGAAGCTGTAATAGTTTAGCTACAAAGTTGAAATTCCTTTGTATCGTTAAGGTAAAAAGTAAATTTTGAGGGAGTTAGGTAACGAGTTGGTTTAAAAAAAAATTATAAGGTTCCATGTTTCTAGTAGGTAAACACAAAAATAGTCAAGTAATTCTCAAAGTGTAAAATAAACTAAATATACTACTACTAATACACGGAGGAATTCGAAACCCTTACACATATACAGTACAAAGGGGAACCCTTTTTCGACGTGTTTGAGAAAAATAACTACGAAATAGTCGAGGCGTTTGGGGAATTTAGTGAGGACATGCCATCGAAGGTAGGTCCACCCTATTCTTTATATTTTCATGCTCAATTTTCCGGATAACTGGCATGTCTGAGTATGTCGATGTGTTTTAGTAGGTTGGTAGGTATAACCGTTGTGGAAAGTAGGAAGGTGAATTAAAAATGGGGGAATTTGGGGTACAAGCTTTCTTGTGTTTTAAAAGTTAAGTATATAAGTAGTACAGGTCTGTCTGTGTGCTAAGTAGAAGTTTGTTTATTCTGTCTTTTTTTATATTTTTTTGGGGTTTATTATAAAATATGCTATTTTTCTATAATCTAAGATTCATTAGTGACTCCTTGTAAAATATTCCAGTTTTCACATCTATTTTGAAGTATTGTTTCTTCTTTGCATGGGTGCGTCACTGCATGGGTGCCCACTGAAAATTAGTGCTGGGTGACTTGTATGCCTGGCTTACACTGAGTGGGTGACCCTTTTAGCATAGGCATGTTGTCAGCGTCTTTCTTCTAATTCTTCTGTTTTAATTCTTCAACTCAATGTTTTTATTACTTTCAATGTCACACCTTTATTGTCTTTTTTATACTTCATTTATGCTGCATCGTGCCTGGTGCTGAATAAATGTTTTTTCTTTCTTTCTCTTTTTAATTTTATGAAGCAACAAATCTATAATTCTGATTGTATAACAAAACGTCACAATTCAAAACGATTCCTCGTTCCATGAACCGTTAACCAGATACAACCAGTCGAATAAACAACTTTCAATTCAAAAATAGAATACTTTCATCAACTTCGCTGGAATGTCAAGGTTAGGGCTGAGCTATGCTAGGTCAATTAGTGATGTGACATAGTCGAGAATAGGTGTTCACAATGGTTAGATTTGCCTGATCATAGTGATTTGTAAACCATTAAGTATATAATGCATGTTGTGCCTACCTATAATAGATTGATGCACTAGTATTAAAGTTTTCGTAAATGTAACCCTATATTGTATAAGTGTAATCAATTGTTGGTGAGCCAAATCAATAAAAAAAAACATCTCTTTCATAGTGTAGACTTCACAGTTCTTCATAATTCAGGGAAATTCAAGTTACGTTCCTATAGTATTTCAATTTTCATTTATTAAACTTAATAATTTAATTTGTACTGCCTTCTGCTAGCTTCACTGGTGAATTATTATTTTTTTTTCGTTATCTTTAATAAAAATATGTAATCCTGTTTTCTAGTTGGCGACTAGCGTTTAAATGCCATTTGTCTATGTCTGTGTACTAAATAACAAACGAAATGTGAAAACGTGTAGTATTCAATAAATGTTATCACCAGAAAAAATTACGATTCGAAAGATACCTACACAGAAAAACGAAAGGAAAAATCAGTTCCCACTCCATTCAATTCACAAACAGCTGTCTTATAATCCCCTAAAGTAATTTTCTTACTGAACCTCAACAACTTGAGACCACAAGACGAGACGCCCTAATTTTCCACCCCCACGCCCGAAAAAGGGGAATGATTATTTTATTCCGTTACCTTGTAAATGGGCCCACCTTTATCTTAATGAGAGGTTGCATTCAGCTCATTTGCGTGCCAGTTGCCAGATTGTGCCCGAGACTAAATTGTGCCAGTTGCCATTCCTTGGCGCTCGGTGGGTTGCCACTAGAGATGCGCTTTGAGGGGTGAAACGTGTTTTATGCGAAATTTCGGCAGTTATTTTACGTTGGAATGAAATTAACGGTTGGTTCTGAATAGTTTATTGTTGGACTTTCGTGTTCCAACCGATATTTAGTTCAAGTTGTTATAGTGTTCTTGTTTAGTTATGTTTATCGTTGTTTGAAGGCTAGGTAATATGAAATGCATGTAGTTTTTATTGATTGTATTGGGTTATTTTAGCTCTATAGCTATTTATGTTATAACTTTCGTGAGACATACTAAATTAATAATTATTTTTTCGGCTTATTCACGTAATTATTTGACGAGGAACTCGACTAGTTTCAAGCCATGCTAGAGGCATATTCATGAGTAGCATTCCGTGACAGTCACCAGTCGCGGGTCACGGAATATTTCTTGATGATATTTGAACTAAATGCTAACATTGACTTTGAACATTGATTTGGACCATGGCAAAGTAGAGGTACAAAGTGCAAATGACATACTTGATTTTGACAACAACTTTTTCCTTTTTAAATGGAATAGAAGGCAAACGAGCTGACGTATCACCTGATGGCAAGCGACCAGTGCCGCTCATGGACACTCGCAAAATCACACGTATATCCTAAGTACTTCAATTATGATTGGAACTTCACAAAACATACATGGAAAAGTACATAATTTCAACAAATAATTAATATGTAACCCTAAATCACAAATATTACAAGTTAGCAACGACGAGGGGTTCAGAAAGTTGAAGCAGTAACTTGCAAAGTTCTACTACTTATAGTTACTTGCAGTCAAAGCGTGCGCCATGCAGTGCGGGAACACATCGATAAATGATGCGAAAACTTCGTCTGTGACGACGAAAATACGTTAAAAGTTTATTTAACATTTTTAAAGTATGTAATGCTTGTCGAATATTACTTTATGAACGTGTATTTATGCAAACATTTATGATACGTCATGTTTGGTAAATGTAACCTCTTCGTGAATTTGTGTGCCTAGTACTTTTGTACGACTCACAGGTTATTTATTGACTTCGTGACGAAATTTACATAAAAAATATGAGAATTACAAATATGACGACAGTCAAAAAAGAAGTCTAGATTCGATTCCTTAGTGATACAGAATATTTCTGAAGTTTACGGAGATTTTAAACAATTTCTACATTTGCGTACTGGTGGTAATAGGTACAGTATATTCGATGACTGAAAGTCAGTTTGGTTGTGCAAGCCACACATGACTACACTTTATTATTGAACTGTCAAGTAAAACCACCAAACAATTTTCACCACTTCTACAAGAAAACCAAAGTACAATTTCCACAAACATTGGCCAAACGTTACCATTGAACAGGCCAATATCTATAAAAATAACATTTATCCGAGCACCGAGTATATTCAACTAGATGGTCTAAAAAAATTGAATCGAATTTTCGCAAGGAGCATTTCCTCCGAAACTTTTATTAGAATTACAATATTGAAGTGAATGAACGGGCGGCCATATTGAAAAAGCGAATCATCGGTAAATATCGAATTTCATTTCGTTCTCACTTGAAGTAGCGTTGCTTAAATTTTACATTGATATTATAAGTTTGATGTTGTTTCAAGTTTTTATAGGATGTACACAGTAAAAATGCTCGTTAAAAGGCTCATCATTAACAAATTATTATTAATAGTCGCCTGTATAGCATGTTGAAGTCTCAAGTCCAAATTGGCTCAAGAGATCTGAAATAATTTCACTCGCTCTGAAAATGCGCTCGTTGTTTGACAGCTAAACAAACTAGAGTAGTTCATTTATCCCACAACCTATAAACTTATTATAGATATTTAAGTCATAACACAAAAGCATCGCACTAAAAATTGCCTAAATTAACCTTCTATAACCGTTTGAACTGTGGTCGCTGGGAAGAATGTAAAATTGACTGGCGACATTGTTCCACTAGACTAACAGATTCCTTTTGTGAAAAGAAACGGTTATGACGTAAGCATTATGCCGGGATCCGCCTTGCCAACCATGAAATTGAAAGTGTTTGCCGTTGAAAAAATTGTTTGAATTTTTTTTTCTTTGTTCCAATTTTTTCGTCTTTTCTATAGTTTGGTTTAGACTAGAATACTGAATATAAATTGTTGTTTATCGATATTGGCGTGGAAATATAATGGTTTTTGTTTGTTTGAAAGGGTTAAGTTTAATATTGTATGTATAGGTATATTTTTTATTCTGATACCATTTAAAATGCAGATATGTAACTATGTATTATTATTCGCGGTTATATTATCACGAATACTTCAGGGGCAAATTTTGTTTGGAAATATACTGTTTTTTTACTTTGCATTAAATTCTGATGTTTTTTCAAATATTATATATATTATATTTTGACACGTTTTAACCTTTCTGTTTGCATTCCCACAAATGCTGTCAATGATTTTTGTAGCCACAATGTACAAGTAAGTATCATAAAACAATACGGTACAAATACCAATATGAGCTGTTTTAAAGATATCAAAAATTACAATGTCGTGGTGGCCCGAAGGTTTAATACGCCCGCTTCTCATGCATGAGGGTGCGGGTTCGAAACCTACTAACGGCAAGTACCAATGTGACTTTTTCCGAGTTATATGTACTTTCTAAGATTATTCAGAGACCACTGACAAACGGTGAAGGAAAACATCGTGGGGAAACCTGGGCTTATAATTTCTAATTATAAGTTTGTAATCGCCAACCCGCATTGAGCAAGCGTGGTGATTAATGCTCAAACCTTCTCCGTGTGAGAAGAGGCTTTGCTCAGCAGTGGGCATTTATAGGCTGTTGATGATGATGATGATCAAAAATTACAATAAATATAGTCTTTAAAATCCCACATACCTTCATACAACCAGTCTGGTACTCCATTGTGGATTGTGCCTGGCACTCCAGACTCCGTCACACGATACCCCGTGGATGACCTGGGGGCAGGTCTGTAGTATATGTCGTAATCTTTGACGGTGATCAGCCCATGGCCCTTGGGGGTCCACGTGGCTAGGAGTAGTGAGGGCCCTTCGGTGATCACTCCGCCCCCAACCTCGTCTGGCAGCGGAGTTAGGGGGTAGGACTCGCTGGGGACAATAGAAGAGTAGTTTTTAGTAAACTGACGCAGAACATAACATCACGCCTTTTATCCTCGAAGGAGTAGGCAGAGGTGCTTTTAGTTATACTACTGTGTAATATAACACAAACTTTTCACTAATTATGTTATGAGTCCCATGTAATAGGGGTTGTAAAATCATCTCATATAACATGTATACCCAGTAATACTTTGCCCGACCCGGGAATTGAACCCGATATCCCTTACGCCGCAGTCGCAATTGCGACCGCTCGGCCAACGAGGCAGTCTTTTTATTTTATATTATATTTTAGAACCAAATTAGCCGAACCGGTTTAGCGTTTCTCTGGTTTGAGTTAGACTTGTAAAAACATATTGGAGAAAGGATATCAAGACTTTTGATAGTAGAAATGTTATATTTTAAACTAAAATATGAAGTACCAAGACAAACACGACATCAAATCGCCAGACACGTTAAAACCGCCAGACACATTGTACGCCACCGATCTGACGTCATTACCCCCTTGAGTTCACCCCGGACATCCGAGCACGTGAATACATGAATTCCCAATGAAGGAAAAATGTTCCCGATTGTGATTCCAGTCATTTGATGTTTGTGGTGTTTGAATGATGCGGAATAAAAATGATGTCGGTAATTCTTGGTACGGAGTTAGATTTTTGAATCGAGACTTTATTTTAATGGCAGTTAAGTTTAAACTTGGTTGATAGTGGCGGGGTGGATCTAGATTTGAACTTTAGGTGTAGAATTTTAGATAAGTAGGTACTAATTTATTAATTTCTCCAAATACCTAAATAATAAGGAAAAAAAATGTCCAAAAATATGAAAATACTTTTTTCTACAAAACAACCTCTGAATCATAAAAAGTACCAGGCGCACAAGTTCATGAAGAGGTTACATAAACAAGCTTGTACCACTACCATCCACGACATTAGTCACCAAGCCGTGTTTTTCCCGCGCAATGGCCGAATATTTTTTTTTATTTTTTCAACAATAGACCCAAGGGAAGTGGCTGAAGGCCGAACAAAAGCTTTGTTCCGTTCCTTTTGCGTCTTTTTCACTTTTAAAATATACATTACTCAACCGTGTTCTAACACGGCATTGATTTCGGAATAAAAGAGAAAATGGAAATCATGGAAGATTAAAATGCATGAATTGAGATACTTTCTCTTTGCCTTTTAAGTCAATCTCCTGTCCATTCATGAAGCCTGGTTCATTTTCTATCTAAATCAAAATTAGAAAGCTTATTGGAATGATATGGGTCATTCATTTTAGAAAGGAAGTTAAAGAAAAATCAATATAAAACAGTTACATTTAGTTCTGCAATAATTAAGTATGTTGCGAGTAGGTACCTATTTTGCAACAAATAGTTGTTTTAAAAAAAACGTTGCCCCACATTAGGATTTTCTCTTGTGTCGTGGGTGCGTTTACAAACATACAAGTCCACATACACAATGACACCCAGACCCGAAACAACAATTTGTGGATCACACAAAGTGTTGTTCCGTGCGGGAATCGAACACGCGACACGTTGCACGGCAGCCGGTTGCCCAGCCACCGCACCAACCGTGCAGTCAAAGTTTGTCAAAAACTTTCTGTAAATCTCATCATGATAAGTGAGAGACTTTACATACTTGAGAAATGAGATTGAATAATGCCTTGCCTTTAAAATATGAAGTCCGTTAACATACAAAATCTCGTACGATACACCTTCTAACAAACACGAGACTTGTATGTATCTAGACGACCTAGTAAATAAATTACTACAATTTATTACCGACCTTACTGCCTACGATATAGGGCGGAGAACTGCTTGGATGTTGTGTACATTCGAGAGAAACACCTTAGTACGCCGAACGTAGTGTTAAAGGCCCGATTTATGAACATATTAGGTTTTATGCTTGCCTGGTACCTGCGATTACGGTTTGCTGTACTGTTATGTTTGTATAGGATACTTGCGTGTACTTTGAATAAGAGCAGAAATAATAAAAAAAGACATTTAAGCCCTTTTTGCATAAAAGTGCTACAAACATCCACCCACACTAAGATTTTGTGTATTACGAATTTGTATTTGTACTTCATTTTAGTAGGGTTGACACGTTTTTTTGATTTGCGAATTTTCAGTAGGTAATAAATATCGAGTAATCTCACAAGAAATGCAAGTTTGCTGACTTAATGTAATCTATTATAATATAATAAGTGAAATAGAAATCCAGTCCATACCATAAAATTGATTTTCCTGAACCCTTTAACGAAAATCTACAAAATATTTTTAACAAAACTCAATAATCACACACCACAACACGGTTGAATTGTAATCGATAAAGAACATCCTTTTAACAATCGACTAAAATCAGATACAAAAAGGCAATAGCGAACAAACCCGCGGCCTTTGAAAGCTGAAACAACTTTCCTTTACCAAAGTACACAATGGGTAACCGAAATATCTAAATTACGTATCGAATAATCGATTGGAAAAAATCGAGCAATCGTAATAAGGTGGATCAGCTAATAAAAGTCGCAGGGAGTCATAAAAAAAGCAACTTGCTTCCAACCGGCCTATCTGGAAGTCATTGTTGTCATTGAATCAGTCCTTCCAGATAGGAAGTCATTGAGGGAGGCCTATGTTTAGCAGAGGACATCTTGTAATTTGTTTAATATTAAAACTTACGTGTCACATACCTACTAAATTAATTATTATGTTTTTGGCTTACTCACGTAATTGTAGACGAGGAACTGGACATTGCCAGCTGGTAGCAGCACGACAGTCGCCGCGTCCCTGCTCATGAATATGAGCCTCATAACATCACGCCTTTTATCCCCGAAGGGGTAGGCAGAGGTGTACATTATGTCACTGTACAATGTAACACCCACTTTTCACTATTTATGTTATGAGTCCCATGTAATAGAGCGTGAGCCTATTGCCATATACCGGGCACAATTCCAGACTCCGTGCTACTACTGAGAATTTATAAAAACCCAGTAGTACTTTGTGCGACCCAGGAATCGAACCTGAGACCCCTTGCTCGGCAGTCGCACTTGCGACCACTCGGCCAACGATGTTCCTCATCAAACAGTTACGTGAGTAAGCCGAAAGCATAATAATTAATCTTGTAATTTGTAGCTGATATTTATGGTAATTATGTATCACTAATATGGCAGTAGTTTACCCACTATTACATGGGACTTATAAGATAACTGGTGAAAAGTGATTAAAAAGTCCATAATCTCTGCCTACCCCTATGGAATACAGGCGTGAGGTTATGTATGTACCTATGTGCATTGTAAGGTGCATCTATACTTTCGAGAATGCAAAGGCTGGAAATAAGGACAATTAAATAATTAGGCTTTGTCCAAATCAGTTTATGAACAGTCGTTCTAGAAACCACATGACCAGGGACGCAGTACTATGAGAAGTTTAAATCAAACAATCAGATTGCTAAACAATAACTCAAGTTGTTCTGTTGTGGAGACAAACTGGCCGACTATTGTACTTCAGTGGGATTACATAATGATAGTTTTGATTTATGTAGCCATCGATTTGGGGAAGTTAGCTGTGGTTTGTCCTGTTTCGAGTTGAGTTTGAACAGAGATAATATAGGCGCAAAAACACTATTTCAAGTTTTATAGTTATAAAGTTTATTCTACTAGACTATCGGTCCTCTTGCTGCTACCATACTGCCGTAATATCTGTGTTTGGCACATTAGTTTTATAAATCACTACATATTATAAAACAAAGTCGCTATCCGCCGTCTGTCTGTCCCTATGAATGCATAGATCTTTAAAACTACGCAACGGATTTTGATGCAGTTTTTTTAATAGATAGAGTGGTTCTTAAGGAACGTTTATATGTATAATACATGCATATTGCACCCGTGCGAAGCCGGGGCGGGTCGCTAGTAAACTTATAAAATTTACAATTTACTTATTTACTAGCTACTCGCGCGGTTTTATCTGCTCTGCTCGGCTCCTTTTGATCGTATCGTGAGGTTTTATAGCATATAGCCGTTCTCGATAAATGGACTATCCACTACAAAAATATTCATTGAAATAGGACCAATAGTTCCAGAGTTTAGCGTATTCAAGGAAACAAACTCTTCATCTTTATGAAATGAAAAAGTAAAACATTTAATTTTTATTTTATTCAGGTTTGTCAGAAAGCGCTGCTATCCGGTCTCAGTTACACCCACGGGAGGAGTAGTGGTGGTGATTGTGGTGTTCTGCTCTGTTGTCACAAAATGGCAAATAGTAGTAATTTAAATAGTAGAAACATGACACACGCCAATCATACCAACTTTTTATCCCAATTATGTCGTGGTGACCAGGAGGCTTAAGACGCCCGCTTCCCATGTATGAGGGTGCGGATTCAAAACCTACCAACGGCTAGTACCAATGTGACTTTTTCCGAGTTATATGTACTATATATGATTATTTAGACACCACTGACAAACGGTGAAGGAAACAGGGGGAAACCTGGGCTTATAATTTCTAATTACATACCTCTTGTATGTTGAAAGTTGCGGGTATAAAGTGTTTTATACCGGGAGCCGGTGTTTCAACAGATAAAAGGGTAAAAGTTTGAATTCCCCAACCCGCATTGAGCAAGCGTGGTAATTAATGCTTAAACCTTCTCCGTGTGAGAAGAAGCTGCGCTCAGCAGTGGGGGCATTTATAGGCCGTTGATGATGGGATAAAACAGGAATGGTATTCTACGCGGGCGAAGTCGCGAATAACATAACATAACATCACGCCTTTTATCCCCGAAGGAGTAGGCAGAGGTGCACATTATACCACTGTACAATGTAACACCCACTTTTCACTATTTATGTTTTGAGTCCCATGTAATAGGGGATGAGTCAATTGCCATATAGCGGGCACAATTCCAAACTCCGTGCTACTACTGAGATTTTTTTTAAAAACCCTGTAGTACTTTGCCCGACCCGGGAATCGAACTCGACACCCTTTGCCCGGCAGTCGCCCTTGCGACCACTCG